CCAAGTATTTTTGTTGCAAAGGGTTCTAATATATTTAATGAATGCACATATATACAAGATCAATGAATGAATCAACGATACCAATCCTTTAGGTGTTTTACTCCGTGTTCATTTAGTTCAACCATTATTGTTGAATAAATTATTATGGATAAAGAAATTCCTAATTTAAGGAATTTAGATGTAGTAAATATTTAAAATTTTTAATTATAATGTAACCCAAAGATATTGGACGATTGGTAAATATGAAGTAACCCAAAGATCAAAATGCTAAAGAAAGTGTTTTGGTTATTTAACAGTTTGAAACAACAATTTGTTCCAAACCACTGAAAATACAAACATTGAAATTTACAATATTTTCACTTAACGTTTTTGAGAATGATTTTCCCAAAACACATCTATATTTTAAAAAAAATTATTATTAAAATAATAATAATAATAATAATAATAATAATAATAATAATAATAATAATATTATTATTATTATTATTATTATTATTATTATTATTATTATTATTATCATTATTATAATACTACCCTTAGGTCATTTAAATGTTAATTTAAACAGCTAATTTTTTCAAATATCTTTTTACCAACCGTTGATATAATCCGCTGATTGTCAAACAAGGACATTACGAGGTAGTTTCTCACTTCAATTTGTTGTGTGATTTGATCAATACTTTCTTTGTCAACAAATCCCTCAAGTAGTTAATATAATTGGCTTTATTAATTTAAATTTTTTAAATTTTTTCACGGTATTAATAAAATACTTGGTAAATAAATATATAACATTTTTTTGTATTATAACTTTGATATTTAATTAAAAAACAGTGCACAAAAAAGATAATAGACAATGTAGTGAATATAATCAATTGGTGAATTTGAATGTAAATAATTTTTACATACATTGGAGAAAAATAAAGACAATATAACTAATGAAATTATTTCTCTTAATTAATTTATTGATAATGAATAATTTTTTTTTAATAAAGATATTGTAGGGACAATGTAGCGAATATAATCAATTGATGAATTTGAATGTAAAGAATTTTTATATTGGAGAATGGAGTTGGAAAGGCTTTGAAAGAATCATTGTCCCACATTGAATTGGAGGGTTGTAATCTTTCTATTATCTCATTTCAATTTCATTCTTTGCTTCAATTCAATTTGCTATCATGAGTGGCTAGGCAATTCTTGGGATTGAATTGTGAATTCCATCATTGCAATATGCTAGTGTGGTATTGAATTGTTGATTTGGATTTTTTTGGCAACGAATAGCCCGCCGCGTGGCAAAACCCCTGAGATCAAACAAAAAGGCCAGCTTTGCCCGAGTAGGCAAAGCATGCAGAGAGGTAAAAATTCTCGATGAGTTACAATTTAGACTAGTTGTTGCAAGAGCGTCAGCTACACGATTAGCTTCCCTGTAAATATGTCTAATATTCGAACCCCAAAGGGCTAGCGCGGATCGGATGTAAGAGATGGCAGCCTTTAATTTCTATGGAACCATCGCTTCGCGCGAAGAGACCAACGTGGCTAGAGCGAGAGAGTCAACTTCTACCGTATAAGGAATCCAAATCAACAATTCAATACCACACTAGCATATTGCAATGATGGAATTCACAATTCAATCCCTAGAATTGCCTAGCCACTCATGATAGCAGATTGAATTGAAGCAAAGAATGAAATTGAAATGAGATAATAGAAAGATTACAACACTCCAAATTCAAAATTGAATCCAATCTACAAAAGTAATCCAAAAGCCTCAAGGTTTGAGAGTGTTGTCAAGACTCCTTCAACCTAGATTCTTCTTGAATGTAAAGTGTTCTTGAGATAGCTAGAGAGCTAAAAATGAAATGTAAATGATACACAAAATGATCCAACCACCTAACACTCTAATTTTCTCATCTTTATATCAAATTCTCCTGGGCTTCTTCACATAAAATTCTCGCCACACCCGCCACGACCGTGCCATGATCGTGATCGGGGTTCTGCTGCATTTCTCCATTTGCAGTCTAACTTGGTTCCTCCAATTCAAGCCCATATGACATCCTTTAGACTCAAGAATCCTTCAAAACACTAAAATGTACATATTATAGGGCTTTGCAACACATTATCACATTTCAAAGCATTTTCCACATAAATCACCCACAAAGGACTCCATATAAGCATAAAACAATCCCGAAATGACCCTTAAAAGTAAGCATCTTTGGCACTTATCAGATTTTCAAAGTCTGTCAATACAGATGTGCCTAAATGTTGTCGTTCCCCCGAAAGACAACAACCTTGCAAGCATGTGTTAGAAATAATTATTTTCTAACAATGATTTATATAATAAAGGTTGTGATTCCATAAGGTACTCACGTTGATGATTAGTGATGTGTAAAGGCGGAATTACTGGGTGAAATTCCCTCCCTCTCATTCTGTTAAAATTTAAGTTTATAAGGGTTAAAAGATGTATAATGGATAAGTTTATGGGTTTCACAATCCTAAAGAGATTTCTATTCCTAAAGGAGGTCACATTCCTAAAAGGATTTCTATTCCTAATGGAGGTTCCCCATTCCTCTTGAAAGAGAGTTTCTCATCACATCTATAAATACCCAGGAAAACTCTAGGGATTAAAACGTTTTCAAATCTCTAAGTTTTCTAGTCTCCGTATCATCAGGAGGTGAATAAGGTATACGGATCAGAGAGGTGAAGCATTATATTCTTGATTCATTCAATTTAGAGATTACATCTTCAATGGAACCAAGTAAGTCCTATCTTTCCTATTTAATTAAAAGTCCATGATCATGAACATTGTTTAGTTGATTGATTTGATTTACATGCCATCATTGTTAATTGTGCTTCCACATTTAAGTTATAGCGCATAAAAGATTATTTAACATTTGGTATCAGAGCCTGCTTGTAAATTGATTTATCACTAAAATTAGGGTTCATGATATTTGGAGATTTTTAATTATATGGTTTGATTTTATTCTGAGTTGATTACGGGTTAATCGCTTTGATTGTTGACGTACGTACTGTTATATATATTTATAATTATAATAATTGTGGGATTGAAGATTGTCTCTGTCGAATGGTTTGTGTTCGTTGATGATGGAGCTATTGTATGGATGTGTACATAGCTTAATTATGGGTTTCTCGTTTTTTGGGATAGTGCGTATGACTTAATTAATATCCTCAATTTGGTGTCCTTCGTCCAACATCAAAATATATGCTCAAGTGTTTGTACTGTTCGTATAAAACAAATTGATTCGCATGTTTCTGTTTATGAATGTGCATACTGTTCTCTTGGAATCAAGCATCAGATGTATGTATATCATGTAATGTATATATTTTTGGAATTAAATCATATGGAATCAAGAAATATATATATGTTAGTTGTACTGTGTTCGTACGGTATATGATTCACATGTTATATGGTTTGTCTCTATCAAATCAGGAATTATATGTGATAAGAGAACGACATATAAATTAAGGTTTATTTTGTTTGGGCCAATTAAATTGAGCGTATTTGGTTTATTTAAAGTATTATGGACTCACTTTAAATTTTAGGCTCATTCAATTTGTGTTTATATTTGAGTCTATTTGATTTATTTAAAGTATTATGGATTTGCTTTAAATTCTAGGCTCATTTAATTTGGGTTTATATTTGAGCTGTTTGGTTTATTTAAGGCATTAAGGACTTGCTTTAAATTATAGGCTCATTTGGGATCAATTGTGGTTGGAGGTTATATACACTATTAGTTTATATATATGTTTATAAATGAATTATTAGCATAAAGCGAGTGTGTTGCCAAAGCGGCCCACTCAAGGTAATAGCTAATAATCATTATTTATGTTTATGTTTACAGCATATATATAAATCAAGGTTTACTTACATAAATGAGTTATTAGCATAAGGCGAGTGCGTTAGTCGCCAAAGCGGCCCACTCATGGTAATAGCTAAATGATCATTTATGTTTATGTTTGCAACATAAATTAAAGTTTATTCACATAAATAAATTATTAGCATAAGGCGAGTGTGTTAGTCACCAAAGTAGCCCACTCAAGGAAATAGCTAAATGATTATTTATGTTTACAAATGTTTATCGTACACAAGTATTTTGCATCGTTGAATGACACTAAAGGATTGATAAACATTTGTGATCATTAACACATGGTTCTAGCGGTTGCCCAAAGGTAGATCAGACATGTGATTAATGACAATTTAGGAGATTATGATTCTTGTTTTGTTAATATGTAGTGCATGTCCAAAGATGGCCTATATATTAAATTGAAACTTGATGAATAGTCTCATTCAAGTATGTGTGAATGATGCATGTCGGTAAATTGACATTGTATTTAAATTTGACCCAAAGGCGGATTTAAATGCAAACTTAAGGTCTATAAATTATAGTCTGAATAAAGGTTTGTTACTCAAAGCAATTGATATGTGAGATAAATGTTTGCAGTGAACACTATTGTATCACGCTATAACGGTGACAGTTCTGATGTCAGTGATAGTGGCAGTAAGTCTAAAAGTAGTAAAGAAGGGCAAGCATCCTATGAAGGGGCAAGGTGATGTTCAGAAAGTGCATAAATGCTATTCTGTAACAAACCTGGACACAAGAAGGCTGAATGCCTGAAGAGGAAAGCTTGGATGGAAATAAAAGTATACATTCAGTTTCAGTATGCTTTGAATCCAATCTTGTTAAGGTTCCTTCTAATACTTGGTGGTTAGACACTGGTGCTACAACACATGTTTATAATATTAAGCAAGATTTTTGATTTTTGATGTTTCAACCTCATAGGAAAAATGAAAAGTGTCTTTTCATGGGAAACATGATGAAAGCTAGAATTGAAGGTATTGGAACTTACAGAATTAAGCTGGATACAGGTTTTTGCCTTGATCTTGAGAATTGTTTGTATGTTCCAAAATTGTTCTAGAAATCTTGTTTCAACAGCTAGGTTGGAAACATTGGGGTTTTACTTTAAGATTGTAGACAAATGTTCGTATCAACAAAAATCTTTATGTTTCTGGTGTTTTGTTGGATACACTATACTGTTTCAATCTTAATGATGACTTTGTTAATTCCTTGTTTAATGTGATGTTTGTGTTAAAAGGAGTGCACTAAAAGAATCTTCAGCTGACTTGTGGCATAAAAGGCTTAGTCATATATCCAAATAAAGGATATTGAGACTTATTAAAGTTGGAATTTTGTCTCAATTGGATTTTACTGACTGGAATGGTGCATATGTCGATTGCATAAAGGTAAAGCAAGTCAGACATGTATCAGTACACTCAGCCACAAGAAGCTCATGATTACTTGATTTAATACATACAGATATCTGTGGTCTTTTTTGATGTTCCGTCTTGGGGCGGTGATAAATACTTTATTACCTTTATTGATGATCATTCTGGGTACTGTTACATCTATTTATTGCGTGAAAGATCTCAGTCTGTAGATGTCCTAGAGACATTCATATTTGAAGTTGAGAGTCAGTTAAATAGAAAGGCAAAGACAATTAGATCATATAAAGGTGATGAGTACTATGGGAAAACATCAAAAGTTGGGCAAATTCCCGACCCATTTAAAGAAATTCCTCGAATCTAAGGGCATTTGTGCATAATACACAATGCTAGGCATGCCACATCAAAATGGTGTGGAAGAAAGGTGAAATCGTACTCTAAGGGATATGGTTAGGAGTAAGGTCAATAATTGTACATTGCTTGTTTCATTGTGGATATATGCATTAAAGACAACAGCATACTTACTCAATAGGGTTCCTAGTAAGGTTGTTTTTTTAAAAAAACACCTTATGAACTATGGACAAGAAGGAAACCTAGTTTGAGGCATCTTCACATTTAGGGCTGTCAAGCTGGAGTGATGATATATAATCCACATGAAAAATTGGAATCCAGAACCATTAGTGGTTATTTCATTGGATATCCAGAAAGGTCTAAAGGGTACATGTTTATTGTCCTAATCATAAGTACGATGATTGTTGAGTCTGGTGATGCTCGCTTCATTTAAAATGGCGAAGTCAGTGGGAGTGTGGGAGCTCGTAATGTTGAGATTAAGGAGTCATTGATGGTTCCAGATTCATCAAGTGATCCTTTTTTTCCTGTTGTTGTTCCTATTGCTGCAATGCAGTGTAGCCTTATGGAAATACTTTGGAACAACAGCAACTAGATGCTCAAATTCCACATGAGGAAGCTATTGTAAATGAAGATGAGGTTGAAACTCAAGATGATGATCAAGTGAAATCTCAGCAGGAAGTGGCATTAAGGAGATCTACTAGATAGAAAAGATCAGTCATTCCTAATGACTATATTGTTTATGCACTTGAGCATGAAAGTGACTTGAGCATTGATAATTATCTAGTCTCATTTAACCAAGCCATACAGGATAATAATTCTCCTTGAGAATTATTTTGGTTTTGGTGGCTCATTCTGTTCTTGAGCTTCACCAAATGGTTGTTAAAAATTGCCTTTCTGAATGGTAAATTAAAAGAGGAAATATACATGGATTAGCCGCAAGGCTTCATGGCCACAGGAAAGGAAAATCTGGTATGTAGATTGAAGATGCCGATCTATGGATTAAAACATGCTTCTAGACAATGGTACTTGAAATTGTCATTTGGTTTTGTAGAGATCACTGTTGATCGGTGTATCCACATAAAGGTTTAATGGAAGCAAGTTTGTAATCCTAGTATTACATGTTGAAGACATTCTTCTTGCTGCTAATAATAAAAGGGATGTTGCGTGATGTTAAGGAATATCTTTCTAAGAACTTTGAAATGAAAGATATGGGTGAGACTTCATATGTGATTGGAATAAGAAATATTCCGTAATAGATCACATGGGATTTTAGGTTCATCCTACAAGACTCACATTAACAAAGTTTTAGAAAGATATAAACTGGAAATCTGCAAAGAGGGTCATGTGATACTTACAAGGCACTAAGGACCACATGCTCACTATAAAAGAAACAAATAACCTGGAGGTTATAAGTTATTCGGATTCAGACTATGTCGGATGTTTGGATACCCAAAAAATCCACATTCGAATATATTTTCCACTTGCTCATGGAGCAATATCTTGGATGAGTGTGAAGGAGCCTGTCATTGCTACTTCCACTATAAAGGCAGAATTTGTAGCATGTTTTGAGGCTACAATTCAATCATCATGGCTGCGTAATTTCATTTATGGTTTGGGCATTGTCGACACTATAGCCAAACCATTGAGGATTCATTGTGATAATACGGCAGCTATGTTCTTCTGAAAGAACGACAGATATACTAGTGGTGCCAAGCACATGGATTTGAAATTTCTGTCTGTTAAGGAGAAGGTACAAAATCAAAAGAGTATCAATAGTGCACATTGGCACCGATCTTATGATCACGGATCCGTTGACTAAGGGATTGGCGCCCATGACCTTCATTGGCCATGTTGGAAGGATGGGCATACTGGTAAAGTCCTTGAATAACGGTTAACTCTGCCATACATGTATGGATTTATGTTTGATAGCACATCAGGTTGATGATACTCTTAGATATCTATTCAGGTTTTGATTTTGTTATGGTTGATGTTGATCACTTATTTATGCCTAATTCAGAAGTACAGTGATAACAATGGTCTTGTTTAAGATATAAGGAATAAGGTACTTTCGGATTTTACCTTATTATTGTGGTTCGAATTCTTATTAACTGTGATACATGGAAGGGAGCGGGACGCTATGTCAGGCCTGTAACCACCATGATTTGGTTAATAAAGTTCGATAAGGTGGTGACTATTACATTTTCATATTAAGTGAGCTCAAATTAAGGATTGAAAATTGTAAAGTCACGCATATATGAATCAAGTGGGAGATTGTTAGAAATAATTTATTCCTAACGTTGATTCATATAATTAAGGTGTCATGCTCATATGAATCAGTGGGAGACTGTTAGAAATAATTATTTCCTAACAATGATTTATATAATAAAGGTTGTAATTCCATAAGGTACTCACGTTGATGATTAGTGATGTGTAAATGCGGAATTACTGGTGAAATTCTCTGCCTCTCATTCTGTTAAAATTTAAGTTTATAAGGGTTAAAAGATGTATAATGGATAAGGTTATGGGTTTCACAATCCTAAAGGGATTTCTATTCCTAAAGGAGGTCACATTCCTAAAAGGATTTCTATTCCTAAAGGAGGTTCCCCATTCCTCTTGAAAGAGGGTTTCTCATCACATCTATAAATACCCATGAAAACTCTAGGGATTAAAACGTTTTCAAATCTCTAAGTTTTCTAGTCTCCGTATCATCAGGAGGTGAATAAGGTATACGGATCAGAGAGGTGAAGCATTATATTCTTGATTCATTCAATTTAGAGACTACATCTTCAATGGAACCAAGTAAGTCCTATCTTTCCTATTTAATTAAAAGTCCATGATCATGAACATTGTTTAGTTGATTGATTTGATTTACATGCGATCATTGTTAATTGTGCTTCCGCATTTAAGTTATAGTGCATAAAGAATTATTTAACAGCATGCACATACCAATTTTGTCAACATATTTCTTAAAAGTGGATGTAGGCAAGGACTTAATGAATAAATATGTCAGATTATCACTAGAGAGAAAAATCTATATAATAAAATTAAATTAAATGGAAAATAATAGAAGTTAATTTCAAAAAAACGAATCTATACTATATATAAAAACAAAATCCTGAAATTTTAACTTCCCGCCCAATTCCTAAGAAATCTCTCTTCCTAATAAAATATATTGATTTCTACAATAATTCTGGGTTAAAATTTTATTGTAATATTATAAAATTGTGTAATACTATTCCTATTCTAATCTATATCTATTTTATATATCAGTGTTGCAAAAATCGTGTCGCTGGCCGCAGCGAGGAAGGCCGGAATCGGCCTCCTCAGCTGCTTCGCCGGCTGAACCGGCCTTTAATTTTTTATTTATTTTTTTTAAAGTTGTAAAGTGTCAAAAGTTCGGCAAGGCATAACTTTTGACTCCGTTGTCCGTTTTGGACAAATGTTTTTTTGAAATCTCGTATTTTTTCGACATCTATCCACCGCAAACTGCCGTAGGCGGTTTGGCCCACCAATTTCTAAAAAAAAATTACTTTATTAAAGAATTTCTAAGAAAAAACTATGAGAACCTTATGTTTTATTAATGAATTTTTAAAGTTTTTAATTAAACAATTGTCCCGTGCATTATTTAATAATCTTTCTTTATAATTGGTCAAATTATTTAATTATGGTAAATTTGGGAATAATTAATGATGGTAATAGAAATCCTAGAAGAATATAGAATTGAACAATATTTAATTATTGTTATATTATTATTGTGACTCACGGAATACAAGAGTTAATGCCATTTTTGTTCCTACACTTATTGGGGCAATGACACTTTTCATCCTCCATAATAAAAATTGCCACTTAGTAGCCACTGTTATTGATCGTTGGACAGTTTTGATTCTCCGTCAATGACGTCGTTTGTTGACCGTGAATTAAAAGGGTTTTTTTTTTTTGTCTTTTTATGTTCTAATCCTTGTATTTCTCCATCCATTGGTCACTGCTACATCCATTTCTTCAAACTGAGGTTATCCGCTTCAGTCCTTTCTAACATTAAGAAACCATCTTCACCCAACTAACAATCACGAATTTTACATTTGACATCAATCTCAAGATAATGGAAACAAGTGCAGTTGGAATAGAAAGGGCGTTAGTCCATGCCTATGGAAATTTTGTCGAGCATACAACATAACTAGCAAAGTCAGGAATATCACCCAACCCCTCCCTTAACCTTTCTGCATCAACTATAATAGGTATGCCCCTACTCTTTGCCTCTTGCACTACAATCAAAGCAGTCTCATGCAGCCTTCCATCTAAGTAGACAATATTTACTCCAAGCGCAGAAGACAATTTTGATTTGGGTATGTAGACCCTCAGATATCATGGGTGGATATCCTGGAGTGAAAATGCATGCGCGAGTTTTTTTTTTTTTTTTTGGTTGTCAACAATGACATATGTGAATGGTGAGTTTCCTCCTTTGGACACCACCATAAAAGATGTATCAACACCATCCCTTTCAAGCTCATCAAGTATTCTTTTGTCATGCGAGTCATCAGCAACCTTAGATATGATCCTTGGATTAAGACCAAGACGAATTTTATCATCCGGGTTTTATCAAAGCATTACCAGTATTACCACCTCCTTGAACCTCAAAGCTGGTGTTCCGAATTTTATCATCCGGGTTGGGGAATGAAGCTACAGCAGCCAGGAAGTCAACACTGGCCATTCCAACACCTCAGACAATGCGATTTTTGGGGAGCGGCGGATTCCACAATTTCAGCTTGAAACTTCAATGAATTTCAGGTAGAATAACAGAGTTTTTGAGGTTGTGCACCAAGTAGTTGTGGTCAGAGAGAGATGGGAAGGATATTTGTGGTCAATATGGAAGGGAGGACTTACAGGTGCAAATTCTACATCACGCCATCTACAACTACAACTGCTATTTACCATAGGAGGGTTCGCCGACCTGTTGCCCTCTCTGCTTCGCCGGAACCAAAAACCACCGGTGAAGGCCCCAACCTCGCCGAATCTGTTGCTGCACCGCCAGATCTGCCTTACTGGTCCGTCGCCGGAAGGAGTTACTGCCTCGTATGCTCGCCGCCGTACCCACAACTTGCCAGAGAAGAACCTCGCTGCTACTCACTACCGACGGTTACTACTTAGCCGCCAAGTGTCGCCATCTCGCCTCACAGGAGTCACAGCAGCGCTGGTCTAAACAATATTAGAAGAATAAGACATAAAAAGACAGAAAAGCCCTTCTAATTCACGGTCAACAAACGACTTCATTGACGGAGGATCAAAACTGTCCAACGACCAATAACAGTGTCTACTAAGTGGCAATTTTTATTATGGAGGATGAAAAGTGTCATTGCCTCAATAAGTCTATGACCAAAAATGGCATTAACTCCGAAATACAATACAAGAATATTTAATTATGATTATATTATTATTGTGTCTCACGACCATTATATACTAACAGTACTTGAAAAGAAACTAATAATAATAATAATAATAATAATAATAATAATAATAATAATAATAATAATAATATAATAATAATAATAATAATAATAATATAAGTGGTAATAATAATATCTAAAAGTAATTAAGTGTTAATAATAATAGTAAGAATATTAACGTAAGAGTTGTAACATATAATAAATTGTAATAATTAATAACTATAGTCTAGGATTAAATTTGAAATTGTCAGGAAAGATAAACGACCTCTGGTGAAATTAACTCTTAAATAATTATATATCGATTTAAATATTCTTAATATATTACAACAATTCCATTCCGTGCATCGCACGGGTGAAAATACTAGTTAGAATTAACACAATTCTAAAATAGTACACCTCAAAAGTTTGTGACTAAGAAATATATACTTTGCTTTAATGAGCACCAAAAAGGTGTTAAACCTCAAGCACCACTATAAGGTGCTTAATCATGAACATAATTTAATTTCTATGCTTTTCAATCTCAAATGGTTTACTTTGAGAACTAATATATAATTTCTCATTTGTGTAACACAAACTTGATTATTCTCATATATGACATTAGGGGTAATTCATAGTATAATCAGTTTGGAACATAGCATAATGGGGACCAAACAAAATAGCCAATGCCCAAGTAACCTATCAAAACTATATATTGCTTTCTTGCATAAATAGCCAAGGTTCGTCGACCACCGAATGGTGGGAAGACGAGTCAACCATGTACTGAGAAGTGGGAAGGTCCGTCGACCACCAAGTGGTGGGAAGACGAGTCGACCGCTGAGAGGTGGGGAGATCTGTCGACCACCGAGTGGTGGGAAGACGAGTCGACAATTGAGAGGTGAGAAAGTCCGTCGACCACCGAGTGGTGGAAAGACGAGTCGACCACCGAGTGGTGGAAAAACGAGTCGACCACTGAGAGGTGAGAAGGTTCGATCCGTCGACTACCGAGTAGTGAGAAGACGAGTCGACCACTGAGTGGTGGGAAGGTCCGTTGACAACCGAGTGGTGGGAAGGTTGGTCGACTATTGAGAGGTAGGAAGACGAGTCGACCACCGAGTAGTACAGTTCAATGACATCGCACTCTACCTGGCAACCAAGCAGTAAAGTGAATATATCTTCACAAGGGAAGGTTCAAAGGGTAATACATACCTATCTTATGCAGGAATGGTACGTTGAACACTATTGTGTCATTTTTCTAGTCTTGGAAATCAATTTTTGTTCATATGGAGGATTGTTGAAAAATTAGCTTAAAATGACATTTAAAATGGCCATTTTGTTGTATAAATTTTAGTGGGGTCCACTTCTGATTTGAATTGGGTTAAAATGAATTCGGGTTGATCTCCTAAATAAGAGGTTTAATTTGATATATTATACGCACAAAATGTATTATGCGTCAATAAGAAACTAATTCTCATAGGCCATAGCGTACCATTTGAGTTAAGAAAATAGAGTTTGAAAGGTTTTGTATGAGCTTTTGTCCACATTAAAAAAAAAAAGATTTAAATTTACACTAGTATATATAAATATATAGCATAAAAGGCTCTTTTTCGCCCAATCCTATTATTTTAATTGATTTTATCAAACTCTTTCATGTCAAACTAAAACAGTACAAAGAAAGCAAACGAAGAAAACAAGGCCATACACCGGATCCCAGCATGCATTAGTAAGAGATGGCCCCTTTTCTCCCATTTCTAAAATCGTATCAGATAAAGTGACAAAACGTGAAATCTGATCTCCCTTCATCAGCTCCACAGACCTTCCCCATGGCCGTATATGACAATATAATGGGGGAGAGATTTGAGGGGTTCTCTCTCAACCATCCTTTCTCTCTTCAAACTATTACCTTTTAAAAAATATATATGATATTATCTTTTATACGTTCGTTGAATTGAAATATATCCCCTCATTTTGTTTACTGTGGATCTATGATATTGATTCAAAAATTATATTATTAATAGTCTAATTTTTTATGGCGACAAGAAAATCCACGACCATTATATAAAAGTGTGCATTAGGTAAATCCAGGGACGGAGTCAGAAATTCGGTTGAGGGGGAGGGGGCGGGGGGCGAAACAGTACAGACGGATTCAGAAAATTTTTCCGGTAAAGGCGAAACATTAAAACAAAAGAGATAATTTTAAAATAAATAAATAAATTACCTAAGAAATATAATTGTAAATATTGTTGGATATGGACGAAAAATAAAACACATCAAAACTTTATAAAAATATTCATAACAAAATATGAAACATAATTAATTTGATAAAATAATTTGAATAGAAAACACATTATAAATTACACATCTTATTATTAATATAAAAGAATGTTATATATATGTGTGTGTGTATTAAATATTAAAAAAGAAGTCATAGGGGAATGAGTAAAAAGAATTGTAAAACTATGTTGATACCAAGTTTTGAACACTTGAGCTCACTATTATCAAATATGTGCTCTACCACCTAATCTAACTCACTTCTTATTAACATTGTATAGTTTTTTTTTTTTTTTTATACTAATACTAAAACCTGTACTATATATACATATATACATACAAAGACTATATATGGGGTGGGGGTGGGGTGAGGGGGGGCAGCTGCCCCCCCTTTGCCTCCGTCCCTGAGTAAATCCCGTTCCTATGTAATAATTTATAAACCACAATGAAGAGATTAATCGCACTAAAAATTGGTAGTCTATTTTAATAAATTGTGTTTTTCGTCCATAAGTTATAGGGTAATTAACTAAGTATTGTAGGAATATAATTGTCCCTACTTATTGGTCGTACTCACTTCTTGACATTACAAATTTCATCTTTTTTTTTTTTAACAGGTCGTGTTCACGTCTCGTCCCTAAGTTATAACTAACGTTGCAAATTTCGTTCTTAATATTTTGTTAAAAAAAAAGACTAAATTTACATTGTCAGTTATTGCTTAAGGATGAGAAGTGTGCACAACCAACTACTAGAGATGAATCTTATATATAATTACCTTATAACTTAATGACGAAAAGTGCCCTAATTTTCCCTTGATTATAATATAATACATATATACATACATTTTTTTTTAAACTACAGATGCTCTAATATATTATATTATTGGAGATTATATAGTAATGGGTCTTAAGATTTCAGACATGTTTATTGAATTTTGAATAATATTTTGGTGTCCAGTTTAAAATAATATTTTAGATTTAGAAATGTTTATTAATTTTATTATATTAATCAAAAAGATTGGTTATCTGGTACTTAATTAGTAGGTTGCTTGAATTTTAATATATAACTGAAGAGTTAAAAAGTTTTCCCTTATGAGAGTATGCAGAAGTCTTAAGGAAAATTAGACCATCTTCCCAAAAGAGCAAATCTCTTGAAGAGTTAGGAAAATAAAACTCAGAAAAACTTCCCGAAAGATTTTTTTATGTCAAGTTAATATCACCTTTATTGTCTTTTTCTTGAGCTTTAGTTTGCAGTATAAGTTCAAGAAAAAAAATTTAAAGACAACTTTCAATTTTTTGCTCTTGTCAGATTATCTCCTTACAATACAAGAAATTGGTTAGTTTCATGTACTTCACAAGTTTTATCTCAGATCTAGATTGCTCATATAATAAATGATTAAAAACTTTAAAAAGTGGGTATCATACACACTTGAAATTATTAATTCTTGTTTTTCCTGCATTTTGCCCATCTCAAAAACAAGATTTTCCCTAACACCTTAAATTAAAATGACCTCTTTTCATCTAATTTTTAATGTGCTAAAAGATCTTCATATCAAATGTCTCCATTTCAATCATCATTTTTGTTAAATATATCACAAATAACAATTATTTTTATAAAATTAAAATGTTTTGATATGATGATCTATTCATTTTTTTTAAAAAAACAATATCTTTGAGTTTTTAGCCTCAATTGAGTAAAATAACTTGTGTAATAAATTCAAATTTCACAACTACACTATCGACAAAATAGCTAGCTATAAAGTTGTCCACACGAACTTAACTCACTGATTTTATAGCTTGGCCTGGCAATATTTGAGGAAAAAAAAGGTTAATGTTTGAAATTCGACAGCTGCAATAATGTAGAAATTATGCTCAAAATGTGCAAATTACTTATGTGCACTGACATATAGCCTTATGTCTGAGATATTGAATTACTGTGATTGTGTTTGAGAATTTAACTTTTTGGAGAAAGAATATATTGATGATAACTATAAAGTTCGAATCACATTTATTATGTTTTCAAAAGTAATTTAATATGTGATGGGAGATATTTCTAAAAGGCAACATCACTTTCACATTATCTTTTTAATGTGATAAGATGAAAGTGAATGTACAATTTTTTTTAAAAGGCATTACAAACATTTTTATGATGTCATATCAAGAAAAGTGATGACTGAAAGTTGTCATTTTTATTGTTTAAATTCTTTTTATGGTACTCACTAATAAAAATTACTCATTTTAACAGTGAGTCTCATCAATGTAATTTTAACCGTGTATATCAGTATATGTATAAAAAATTTGTTCATAGACAAAGAAGATCTGACGAGAACTATAGAGAGAAATGCTTTCTATGTTATCCTTACTCCAACCCTTTTTAAAACTTGATTTTCGAAGTAGTCCGTTTGGTGGCCACCAAGAAAGATGACCATGAGGTAATTAAGGGTGGTTTTATTATTTATTTATTTGTTTGTTTGTTTATTTATTGCATTCCTCTCTTATTAGACACAGTTTTATCTTTTGTGGGTAATACCCTCTTTTGTTTTTTTTGTTTTGTTTTGTTTTGTTTTTTTTTTTTTTTTTGTTTTTTCTTTCCTTTGGGTTGTCTTAATGGCTTGTTTGTTTTAGGCAAAAATTTATTAAGAAAAGTGGTTTCAACTTTCAATAGTGGATATTGAGTAAAACTAGCAATCAACTTCTTGAGTGAGTTAGGTTTTACATGGTGGTAAAGATCGGTGACAATGGTGGACTGTAATTTCTTGGAGAAAGTTATTTCTAGATGAGCCATTATATTGCATGACAAATTTGATCTAAAGGTAAACTTAGGTAAATTATATGGTGGGTTAGGGTTTATATGGCAAATAAATAACTAATAAATGTTTATTTTTAACATAATGAAATTAAAGTTCTTTTTAAATGTAATATAATTTCATTTGGTATACTAAAGACAAACTTATTGTACACTAAAAATGATACAACATATTTACTAAAAGCAGAACTACGTAACATACATTCTTGCGAGAATGTTAGCCCAGACAGACTATCACTGGAGTGACCTATGTGGACCTCTTGATTGTGTTGCGCAAGCATTGATGGAAGACCGTTAGGAGCGGCCAGGCCACGTAGAGTTATTGACGGGTACTAACTTCTTGACACATGGGTTTCCTATCCTTGATTTAAAAAATGAATCTTTAAAATGAACTTAAAGTACACTAAAAATAGTTTATTTTTTTAGTATGGTAAATTCTAACATGTACGTTAGTCATATACCTTTCAATGTGGAACATGATCCACGATATATATAATGATTGACAAGCATAGTGATGGGTCACAACATCATATAGTAGCTCAGAATGATGGCAACAAAGGAATTGAAGATTGTCAATTAGGATTTCTATATAGAGTTCTATTACAAATACTCCAAAATCTTACTTCCTCAAATTTACTCCATAATGTGGCGGCACTGATAGGCTATTTTCTTCATGTAGGCCTCTTATTGGAGAAGAAACAAGAAGGGCAAACTGGACAAGCCAACACTTAAGCAAGGGTAGTCTTGAACTTTCACCAAAACGGTTATAACCACTATTACCGCCACTTTACTTTCTGAGAGCTAACACTGTATATATACTGGCCTTCACCATCTTTGTAAAGCTGATAAAACAGTTTCCCTTTATTCTTCTCTATGCATCAATTCGTACAGAGCTTTCCCTCCTAAAATCTTATATGGTATCAGAGCTCTGGTATGGCAGTTATGCCGTCGCGCTTACCGGCTCCAGTGAATCCAGTCAAGGAGTTCATCCGGCATCTCCGATCAACCAGAACGTGACACAAGGACCTTCCGAAGCTAATCAACAGAGAAGTTATGTTCCACAGAGGAACATGGACGATCTGGAAAATCCGCTATACCTCAACGTCAACGAGAATCCAAATGCTGTGTTGGTGAGTCCTCCGTTGTCTGGAAGCGCAAATTATGCTTCATGGCAGATCTCCATGCAGGTGGCCATAGAGGTAAAAAACAAATGGGGATTGATTGACGGAACCCTAGCACCACCGAAGAGGTCTCATCCGCAATACGCTGCCTGGAGGAGGTGTAACCTGATTGTGTGCTCCTGGATCCTCAAGTCTGTCATCTCTTCAATCGCGCAGAGCGTTATGCACATGGACAGAGCCAAGGACATCTGGAACGATCTTAAGAGATGTTTTTCTCAACATGATGCTCATAGAATCTCCTTCCTACAGAATGACATTTCTAACTTGAAGCAGGGACATATGAGCGTTAATGACTATTATACGAAGTGCCGCACTCTCTGGGAAGAGATGAACGCACTAAGACCACTCCCAATTTGCAAATGTGATCCGCGGTGTTCTTGTGATCTCCTAGACGAAATCAGACGGGATCGAGAAATCGATCAAATTATTAGATTCCTCCAGGGGTTAATTGAGGACTACAACACTTTGAAGTCCGGAGTGCTACTCTTAGATCCTTTACCTGATATGCATAAGGTTTTTGTGATGTTTGAAAAGTTTGAAAGACAACTAACTATCAAAAATATGTCTATGACAAATCCAGAAATGATGCAGGTCAATGCTACTCAAAACGAACAAAACACCAGAGAAGAGATGTATGCTGCTATGAATTTCTCTAATGGGAAAAGGATGATGAACTCACAAGGTGGTAACAAGAACAATGCTAAGTGTACTTTCTGCGGTATGACGGGGCATACTATTGAGAAATGTTACAAGAAGCATGGCTACCCACCGGGATGGGTGCCAGGCTTCAAGTCTAGAAACAAACAACAGGTTGCAGCAGTTGGTACAAATTCTAAAAACAACTCTAATTCTGAGCAGATTCGAAGTCTCATATCTCTTCTTCAAAGTATGATGATGCAGAACCAACCAACTTCTACTGCAGCAGCAACCCTTGTTCCAAGATTTAGTCCAGAAGCCCCAGGCAATGAAGGCAAGTATATTAAACACTTGAATGTTAATTCTGTTGCATTAAGTTCATATGCTTGGATTATTGACTCGGGTGCCACAGATCACATAGTGTGCTCTCTTGGTTTCTTTGATAAATACCACTCTGTGAATGGAGCAAAGGTAAATCTACCTAATGAGAGTTATGTTGCTGTTGAATTGGCAGTGTAAGGTTGGATAATGGTATTTGGTTGAAGGATGCCCTACATATCCCTTCATTCAAATTCAATATCATCTCGGTTAACAGATTATTACAAAACTCTCCTCACTCTTTATTGTTTGAATATGGTTAGTGTCTTCTTCGGAAGGACCATGGGAGAATGATTGGCTTTGCTAAGGAACAAAACGGACTCTACCTGCTGAATAATCCTCCGAAGATTAGCACTAATAATTGTAGTATCTTTCATATACAGTGTAATAGTGTTGAATTGTGGCATCAACGATTGGGGCATTTCCCTGTAAATAAGATGCATCTCATTGAAAATATCTCTGTTTCTAATACAAAGAATCTGGTTTGTCATATCTGTCATCTTGCTAAGCATAGAAGATCTCCCTTTCCTTTAAGCAATTCCGTATCAACAGCCTGCTTTGATCTTGTTCATATGGACATCTGGGGTCCCTTTCAAGTGAAATCATTGGGTGGGGAAAGGTATTTTTTAACCATTGTTGATGAGCACTCCAGATATACATGGTTGCGACTAATGAAGAGCAAGGTTGAGACAAGAGAATGCATAAGGAATTTTCATAAAATGGTGCTCACTCAATTTGGGATGGCTATTAAGGTACTGCGAAGTGATAACGGTCTTGAATTCAAGATGGATGTTTTCTTTAACAATAATGGCATGATCCACCAGAAGTCCTGCATACACACACCTCAGCAAAACGCCATAGTGGAACGTAAACATCAACATATACTAGCAGTGGCTCGTGCTCTCAGATTTCAAGCTAATCTCCCTCTCCAGTTTTGGGGGCAATGTGTTATTCATGCTGCCTATCTCATAAATAGACTTCCCTCAGCCACTATTGGGTGATCAAGTCCTCATTAGAATTTATATGGCAAAAGTCTAGACATCACTAACCTCAAAACCTTTGGCTGTCTGTGCTATGCAGCTATCATCTCTCCTTCCCGTCACAAGATGGCACCCCGGAGTAGAAGATGCATTTTCATTGGAATCCCGACAGGAGTAAAAGGGTACCTCTTATATGATCTTCTTGATAACTCTATATTCATATCTCGTGATGTCATTTTTTAAGAAGATAAATTCCCTATGGTTCAATCAGCGGAAGCAGATTCACAAGTTGTGCCCCCTTCTTTGCCTAACATTCCCACAACAGATTGTGAGAACTATAGCTCTCAAATGGCTGTGGATAATGAACCTCAGATGCAGGCAGAACCACCACCTTTGCATGCATACATGCCTTATACAAATGATGATAATGATGCTGGGATGTCACCTTCGAATTCCACTCACCACTTCAGCCATGATATTGATGAAGAAACTGTGGACACAACAGAACCTCACTCTTGCAACAATACTGGAGGAAATGATAACAATCCTAGTGCTCCTATCCAACAACTACTTGATCCTATGCTGCAACTTAGAATATCTAATAGGCAACGTCAACCATCTAGCTGATTAGATGGATATTACTGTGACAATGTCATGCAAAATAAAACATCTCCTCACAGTTTATCAAAGGTGATTGGTTATGATAATCTTGGAGAACCACACAAAATATTCTCCATGGCTGTAACTTCATTCACTAAGCCATGAACTTACAAACAAGCAGTGCAACACGACTGTTGGAAAAAGGCTATGAATGTTAAGATTCTTGCTCTCCAAGAAAACATCACATGGGAGCTCACTGATTTACCTGCAGGAAAGGTACCTATTGGCTACAAGTGGGTATACAAGGTGAAGCTAAAAGCAGACGACACAATTGAAAGGTGCAAGGCGAGACTCATTGCAAAAGGATACACACAACAGCTTGGTATTGATTACCTTGAAACTTTCTCCCCAGTGGCTAGGCTGACCACAATTCGCACCTTCATTAGTGTGTCTGTATCAAACTCTTGGAAAATCCATCAATTGGATATAAACAACGCTTTTCTTCATGGAGACCTCAATGAGGAAGTTTATATGGTCTTACCTCCCAGTTTTGAGTGTGAGAAGCCAAATCAAGTGTGCAAATTATTAAGATCCCTATATGGATTGAAGTAATCAAGTCGGCAGTGGAATGCCAAGCTCAGCTCTGCGCTAATTCATGATGGATTCAAACAATCCGTTGTTGACCCCTCTTTATTCACGAAAGGTGACAGTATTCATAGCTTCATAGCACTGTTAGTTTATGTTGACGACATATTGGTTGCTAGTGCAAGTATGGAACTCATCCAAAGTCTCAAAAATATGTTGGACACTGCCTTCAAAATCAAGGACTTAGGACCTTTGGGTTACTTCTTGAGAATCGAGGCTCACAAAGAGAGAACTGGAGTAAGCTTGTGCCAACGAAAATATGCCCTGGAGATTATAAAGGAAGCCGGTTTTCTTGATAGCAAACCAGAAAGCACACCCATGGTCCAAGGCACCAAACTACTTCTCAATGAAGGAACTCATCTTCCAGATGCTAGCATGTACAAATGGTTGATAGGAAGATTACTATATCTCACTACCACTTGCCCAGACATTGCTTTTGCAGTACAACAATTGAGTCAATATGTAAATTCTCCCACCAACATACATTTAGCTGCCGCACACAGGGTATTGAGATACATCAAGGCGTCACCAGGGCAAGGGTTATTATATGCCACAGATTCATACCTACAGCTCAAAGCTTTTTCAGACTCGGATTGGGCAGCATGCTCCGAAACCCGAAAATCAGTGACTGGATATTGTATTTTCCCTGGCTCATCTCTCATATCATAGCGAGCTAAGAAGCAAGCTACGGTTTCTCGGTCGAGTTCTGAAGCAGAGTATCGTGCTCTTGCATCAACCGTCTGTGAAATTCAGTGGCTAACCTTTTTACTTCGAGACTTGAATGTTCCCACACTCAAACCAGCCACAATATTCTGTGATAACAGGTCTGCAGTGGCAATCGCAGAGAATCACGTCTTCCACGAGCGCACCAAACACATTGACATTGATTGTCATGTTGTTAGAGAAAAGCTCAGCCAAAGTTTGATCAAACTCATGCCGGCTACCTCAGAAAATCAATTGGCTGATGGATTCACAAAACCGCTTTCAGCTGCTCCCTTTCATCGATTCAAGTCTAAGCTGGGAACACAAAATATGTATCCTCCAGCTTACGAGGGGTATTGGAGAAGAAAAAAGAAGGGCAAACTGGACAAGCCAACACTTAAGCAAGGGTAGTCTTGAACTTTCACCAAAACGGTTATAACCACTATTACCGCCACTTTACTTTCTGAGAGCTAACACTGTATATATACTGGTCTTCACCATCTTTGTAAAGCAGATAAAACAGTTTCCCTTTATTCTTCTCTATGCATCAATTTGTACAGAGCTTTCCCTCCTAAAATCTGATACCTCTGTAACTGTGTCTACATCAAAATTTTAAGTGTGAGAGTAAAAATTAAGAGTAGAAAATAGGAGTACATATAGTATTTTCCTTATATATATATATATATATATATATATATATATATATATATATATATCCTGGTTTTGTGGGTCATATCCTATATTCTGTTTGGGTCCATTGAGCTGTTATTTTCTTTGGCTAGATCTTACTTGTTTTTACTCAATCATTATACCATAAACCATTAAATATAAGGATCATTTTTAGTACATTGAATATTCATTTTTTGTGAAGGTTTATTTTTTTGGTATACTATTTAAAAATGAAACTTTAATACATTAAAAATAAAAATTCCATATAAAATAAATAAATTTATCAGTGCTCCACAATATAATTGTTGAATTTTTAAATTTTCTTTGTAAAGTATCATAAGGTAATTAAGGTGTTTGTTTAGTTGATTAATACAATTGTTAAGAATGTGTTCTTATCTTGTAATATTCATTGAACTTGCCTGTTATTCTTTTATTCTATCTTGTAATCTTCATTCTTGAGAAATAATAAAGTTTTCACCATTTTAATAAAAAATTAAATGTTAATTTCATTTTAAAAAAGAAGGAAACTATTATACATACTGAAAAAGAATATTATTATTATTTTGGATCAAACTCGTTATACATGTTTTAAGTTGAATTTAAATTAGTCTTACAAATAACAAATATATATGAGCTCGATATTATATAAAAAGAATTTAAAAACAATACTATTATATTCAAGTATTTGAAACGAATAATAAAAGAAAAGCATGCAATGCGATGTATCTAGAGCTCATTGCCAACAAAATAGCCAATAGAGTCAACATCAGCAGGTCTTCTTCAATTCCAGCTAACCAGGACAAGTTACAGAGTTGCACCGCGCTTTGAATTAAAAGATGAGTTCTGCTTCAATTAAAATTTTAAATCGATATTTGAATTATGCATTTATATTTTATATATAATATTTTTAATGCGTCTCCTTAATAGGACTATATGTATTTAAGTTAGATTATAATTTTTTATCTTAGTTTCCATGTGATTCTCTCTTGTATATATTCCCTTAGTTTGTATCTTTATAACTAAGTTCATTCAATAGAATTCTATCTGTTCTCATCTGGTATCAGCTAGGTAGGATTTCTTCCCACGGATCTGTTAATTCTTCAGAACTGACCGTGAGTTCTTTGTCCATTGCCCACCACTTTATCAGTATTAAACTGACATATAAGAACTTACTGTTTTGGCAAGCTCAGGTTGTTCCTTTTCTTCGCGATCATGACTTGATGGGTTTCGTTGATGGGACGAATCCATGTCCGCCCGCATTCCTCCCTGCTAGCGACGACGGCACACCAGCGCAGCCGAATCCGGCGTATCATGCATGGGCTCGTCAGGATCAGGCGCTCCTTTCCTTGATTATGTCTTCTTTTTCGGAGGAGGTTTTGTCATTGGTGATCAGTCATTGCACCAGCAAGGCAGCATGGGAGACCATTGTTAACTCCCTTGCGTCTTCTTCCCGGGCTAGGTCTTTGAACCTTCTCAACCAGCTTCAATCGCTTCATCAAGGCGATTCCTCGGTTGCGGACTATATTGGAGGGGCACGGGTTTTGG